GTGCAAATAGGGTCAGTTATCGCAAAAAAAAACTTTTTCAAGGAGTTTTTAAATTGTAAAGATATACAAGATTATGCTCGCAACACTGTAAAATTATAATTTAAAAAATTAAATTTTAAAAAATAAAAAGCAATTGCTGCTATTTAATTAGCGATGCAAACATATAAATATTTGGTATTTAGCCTATACTGCTGAAAGCAGAATATTCATTTCGGACGAATAAAGGAAGAAGCGTCTGCCGAAGACAAAATTTAGCTTGTTTTCATCTGTCTTTCTTCCCTCCCCCCTTTCTGGGAAGGGTTTATTCGATTAACAAAAAAATGATGAAAATAAACAAATTTGTGAAGGGTCCGATTGAAAGATAAATTATTTTGTGAAGGGTCCGTTTTTAGAAAAAGATATTTTGTGAAGGGTCCGTTAACGGACTCAAATTTCTTCTAAACAGACCCCTGATTTACATCATGTATTCACACCACTAAAACATGGTATGAACACAAAATAATATTTAAAAAAAATTCGAAAATATGCCTGAAAACTGGGTTAAAAAAAGAAAAAAAGATCCAAAATCTTTCAAAATCCCGTAGCTTTTTTTATATTTCTCATTTTTTCGTTATTCTTGCTTTATAATACCCGTAAGGACTCAACTTAAGGAATATACTTCACGTTCGATATTATATTAATATTTAGATATTTTACTGCAAATATCGAAAATTATTTTGTAAGAAAGGCTGAAAATTGCAATTAGTTAATTTTATTTCAGCTGTTAATCAACTAGTTAGTGTATTCTCTAGACTTACGTAACAAAAACATTAAGCAAAATTTTAAATAATTCGAACATAATTGACATTATGTAATATTTAGATATTTTAAAACAATGATCTAGGCTCATTTATCAAAAAGGCTGAAAAATTGCAATTAGTTATTTTTATTTCAACTGTAAAATATAAAATAAGTTTAATCAACTAGTCCGTAGTCTATTCTCTAGACTTAAATTACGAAAAACATTTAAACTAAATTTTAAGTAATTCGAATGTAATAGACATAATATTAATATTTATATATTTTACTGCAAATATTGAAAATTAGTTTGTAAGAAAGGCTAAAAATTACAATTAGTTATTTTTATTTTAGCTATTAATCTACTAGTCCGTAGTCAATTCTCTAGTCATTTAAAGTCATTTAAATAAATTTTGTCAATTCAATTAAATCATTTGTAACAAAAGTCATTTAAATAAATGTTATGTAATTCGAACATAATGGACAAAAAATTAATATTTAGATATTTTATAGCAATGATCTGGGCTTATTTGGCAAAAAAGGCCGAAAAACTGCTATTAGTTATTTTCTTTTCGGCTGAAAAATATAAAATAATTTAACTAATCCGTAGTCTACTCTCTAGACATATCTAGAGAAAACATTTATGCAAAATTTTAAATAATTCGAACAAACACTTTTTCAGATATTGCATTTAAAATGAAGCGAAATATTTGAAAATTTAGTTTTGAGAAAAAGAACAAAAACATCAAAATTATTAATGTAATATCCAAAATAAAGTTTTTTTTTTCAATAACTGCTCTTCGATTTGACGTAGAAACAAAATTCATACGATTTTAGAAAGAGAAAAGTTCACTTTTTTTTTAATATAAAAAACGGGAAAATAAATTTTTTGGTCAAAATCGGCTCAAAAAAAGGTAATCGTGTAACTTATTAATATTTAATGAATTGTAAAACCAGCTGAAAAATTATTTCTAAGTGAAAACTTTTTGTTGTATGAAAAAAGAAATATTTTAACACATCAACGTAAAAATGCGTTTTTGAAATTTCTACGATCCTTACTGAAAAATAATAGCAATACTACTTCGTTTCCGGTCTGTTTTTTTCCAAGAAATTACCCATTCATGATTACAACGAACATGAATGATACATGATATATGTAATCAGTATTACAATCGTTGGTCGTAATTTTTTTTTAAAATGGAAGCTGCAGCTATAGAGACTAATTTGCTTCAACTTTTATGAAATCTTGTCAGCCACTTTTTACTAATTTTAATCTATAACAGTTGTAATTCATTTTTTGGAGAAGTTGCAATCTGATAAAATGTAATGAGGGATGTTACAAGAAATAACAATCGTAATATAAGATAATGTGAATTACTAAGAATAAAAAAGCATTTCAACAATTATAGATAACAAATAATTAAATTGATTGATTAATTACCACTGCAGATTGATTAATACTTTATACTTTTTTATACTTAATGCTTTTTTTCTAGACATAGTGAAGAACAAAATAGTATACTTAAAAAATTGAAGCATGGATGCTAGGAAATGCCAAAAACGTTTAACATTTTCCTTACGGCTGGTACAACATCTGGACCACATGCGATGGTAGAACATGGCACACCAGAAGCAAACGGTTAAATATGTTAAATCTTTTCGTTGGGGAAAGTTGAGAACATCATTTAGAAATAAACAAAATGTTGTGATATTGAAGACACAACTGCTGTCTCATTACACTCAAGATTCACATCAGACTATATTTCGTTCGTAATCTTGTGATAATACTACCGTAAGTTAATAAATTATTGCGATTTTATTTAATATTTTTTTAATGTTTTTTTTTATAATTTTTGATTCAACGATGTGACACAGATTCAGAGTTATAATATTGATCCTATGGTAGTATACCATATGTATGGTCTTACGGTAGTTGACAGTTTTTCCGTTCTAAAAAAATTAATAAATTTCGACATTTTTAGATAGTTTCATTCGAAGTAAGATTATAATTGTTTATTCCAAAGCATAACATTTTCTGTTACTCCAAAAATTTGAAACATCCATCTTCAAACAAAATATGATTTTAGAGTGCAAAAGCATTTTTAGTATGTTCCAAAAAATAACAAATAATTGATACTTGTCAAAAATTAAAACATCCATAATTTTCTTTTTAAATATTTATATTTATTTTCTAAAAAAGCTTCAAACGTATCTTTAAAACAAAACGTCGGGTTAAACCTACAAGAAACTGACAAGATACTATAGAAAAAAACCCTCATATACGCAGGGTTATTCATAATTCCCTCCGGGGTTTCGAAGCGTTATAATAAAAAAAAAGAANCAAGGGTTCACACATAGAACACCTGTAATGTATGTAAGTAAAACTTGAATAGTTTCGGAATAATTTCACATGTTTCTTTTTTTCATATTCGTCTTCTTTTTTTTACTATAACGCTTCGAAACCCCGGTGGGAATTATGAATAACCCTGTATTATTAGTATCGTTTTGAAAGATAATGACAAAAAAGTCCCAGATTATGTAGATCGCAGGCATAAATAAGATAAAAAAAATGCTATCGGAAATATGACTAATCACCATTGAGGAAGGATGTACAAGACATCATTATTGATACCTATTTTATTGATAGAGGAAATTTCTTTTGATAATTGTCTATTCCTTCAGCAATTAAAACAAGTTAAGAGATTTTATACATCTCTATTATGATTTGTCAGATTTCACTAGCGTTTTTTTTCCTTCCTTGTTTATATATTAACACCTTCACCTCGGAGCCCTTACAATGGTTAAAAAAAACGGACACAATCTCTAACGCTTTACAAAGCAAAACTCATTGACTGCACACTAGCCATATAATACCTGCATATCACTAAATAAAATTGTCGCTAAACATTAAGACATAAAAAAATTTAATATTTAGAGAGGGAGCCGTAGTGGCTTAGGGTATAGAGAGTTCCCCTCTCAACGAGGTGAACAAGGTTCGAATCTCAGCGTTGGCAAAAGGATACGAAATCTGTTCCAAGCTGACATAAAATATCCTCAGTGATAGATGGATCATGGGTTAGAATTATCTTACCGTGGGAGGTTTGTGTGATTATTTTTTTTCTCCGTGTGACGAAAATACTGGTTGATTCTATCAAACAATCCTCCACGAAGGCCAGTTCGCCCCAATGCTTGATCCAGGAATTCCCTTGTCTTCTGGATTGGTCTCAAAATTACAAGGCTGATGAGAAGTGATATTCGTAAGCTCAGAACCGAGTCGGCTGTTCCACGCCGGTAATATAATATCATCTGATATTTAGTGTGGTAGGAAATTTATGGTTGACTGTGGTTTACGGCATTCAACGTGTATACTTTTTGTCGTCATTTTCGACCAGGATTTTAAAAGCATGTATCATGCTGATGCAAACCAACGCCTCCTATAACTAAAAGCCTCCACACGGTTTTTTGTTGGTAGTCCGATAAGATCACTATGAGGGTAAACAAGTTTATAACAGAAGCATTTAACAGAAAATCTAGTAAAAATAAGAAAGTGGTAGCAAATATGTGTCTAAAAATTTGTTTAATTTTTGAATATGATTGGTTTGTCTATTTTACTTGCCAACCACTACAGATTCAATTCTCAAATACATGTGATAAATTTCTCTCAATTACTTTTGAAATAGAATTTGGGTTTATGCGCACAACTGGTCCACTTTTTAAATAGTCTGCACAGACTACTTGTAAAAAACCGTGTAGAGGCTTTCTGATGCTGGAAGTAGTGGGCAAACCCATGTGTAAATCAGAAGAGTAATTAAAGTCGAGCATCACATTCGAGCTTAATCAATTTGTCACTGCTAACGAGGTTAGAGTTAAATGTGTTGTGCTTTTCGATTCTTTTTGACCAAGAAGATAAAGTTCACTTTTTGAGCATCTTAAAACTTAAATCAAAGCTTTATTTTATACTTAAGAATTCTATCGCGCCATAAAGAAGTATTTGGACTTAAAAAGTTCTCATACATTCAAAAGTTATAAAACTTTTATAAAAAACAATCGCTAATTTAGCGAAATTTTCCTACCTCGATGATAATTTTTTAAGTCAATGAACGATTTACAACTCTTGCATTGCAGCTTTGTAAATATTAAGCTAAAAAGTATTATTCTATATAACAGATGAATCTTTATGAAACAGCTTTAAAAATTAAGCCCACATAATTTAATTAACTCACCTATTAAACAAGTAATCCGGCGGCCTTCTCGTCCTGGCTCTAAATCTCGCCCTTTCCTCTGGAGTGTGTACAACAGTTCCATACACCCCTAAAGATTCCTCTGGCAAGACACTGTCCGAGAACCTTCCACTTACCCTCCTGGAACTCGAGGATGGACTCATAATGTCCTGATAATCATCAAACTCGTGGAAACCGAGCGAGTCCTGAGCATTGTCTACTAGCCTATTCTGTACAGGGTACACCTCGTTCTGGTTATTCATAATAGAACCAAACTGACCCTTGTTTTGGACGAAGGAGTCCGTCTTATGGAAGACTGATTCTTTGTTAGCGATGGAAGACTTAGCCGCACTATACGGGTTCGGGTCTGGATACTTGCTGGGTCTCCTACGACCTCCGCCGAATCGCATGGCACTAGCTGTGAAAGGGTCTTGCATCTTTGGAATTTCATTCGTAAACTCCATTTGTCGCCCCATTCTCCTCATGTGTCGCCACATGGCGCGTAATTCTGAACATGTTGGCTCTCTTTCGGATGCTGGAGATGGCATCATCTCCATTTGGCGCCTTGCCACGGGGGGCAGGGCGACTGCTATAGGTGAGTGTTGCAGCAGAAGGTGGTGTCCGCCGGATGGGATGGGGAATGAAGTTGAGGCCACGCTCTTGGTGACAGTGTAGCAGAGTAGTATCCAGGCTATTATTTGAAGATACATGTTTGTTGATTCTAGTGGAAGGCGAAACCTGTGAAATAATTAACGAAGATTAATATTTTTTGAATTGATGGTTTCAGTATTGAGTCATTGACAAAATAAATATTTTTTTTTAAATTTAATATTTTTAATTAAGTCTCGGTGGCTCAGGGTTTTTTCCACCTTCCAATGAGGTGAACCGGGCTCAAATCTTAGCAATGGCTTGAATAAATATTTTCTTGGATGCAAAACATCAGAAAGAAATTTTTTTTGCACCGTTGGTATCTTTAAATTTCACAGAAACGAAGAAATTAGTTTTTTTAAAACGAAAGAAAAGTATTTTAAACCTATACAGATTTTTTACCAAAATTATTCTAAAAAAACGACTACTAATATATTTAGTTCGTGGGCCGCCAGTTGGTAACCACTGCTCTAAATGCTCTGTAACGTTGAAGTTGTGGGTTCAAATCCCATCGTAACCATGTACGCATCTTCGTGATACACGTGTACTTCTCTAATTTGCCATCTGTTTCACCACTTGGTAAGACTTCTTTGCAGTGACCACGCAAGCCTGTTTATGTATGGGTAACAATAACTGAATTAATGATATTTGTAAAAGCGTTGGAAAAAGTTCAAAAGAAATGCTGCAAATTTGTGAAATTTTTATGTCAGTTTACTACTGCCACTGCAAAGCGAAACAGTTAACTACTCACCAACAGGAATAAGAAGGCGTTCCATAAAAACTTTTAAATCATTTACATATAATGGAGTGGAAAATGACTTTAAATCAAATTTACAAAACAAAGAATCGTACATTAAAGCATAAACTTAGTTACCGAAGAAGAATTTTTCGAAAAAATCGTAGAAAGGGCAGCCTTGCAAAAAGTATTTACAGGAAAGCGTAAAAGAGGGGATTGCATGTTAACTTGACACGTGACTGTCACTATGGCAACATAGCTTTTATATATCGTTTTAAAAAAACCCTTTCTTAAAAACTAAATAACAAGAAAAACGCTAAATAACAAGAAAGCGCTAATTTTAGCGAAAAATTTTTTTATATTATTTAATATTCATTAATGTATACAACAGGACAGATATTTAGATCGTTTATAATAAAAGTGAATTATCTCCCAGTAAATTAATGAAGCAATTTACAATTTTGAGTAAAAAAGCAAATAAAAACATTCATTCGGGAGATGCATTTGTGAAATTTTAAAGCAATCATCGTGGTTCTTTTATTTTTCTTGTGAAATAAATGTGATACAGTTAAAAGAAATTGCATGTTTTAAAAATGTGAAATAACAACACTTTTACAATAAGGAACATATTTCTTAAAGAAGAATTCAGAACGACAACGAAACAAAAATGGCGGAATAACTTAGGCTTAGCATTCCAACCGGTAGAATATAAAAGTTCTGTGTCTCTTTGGCAACAGGAGGTAGATATTTCGAATGTAAGAGTGTTTCATTACAAATCTTCTTTATTTCGGTCTTCGCCTTAACAGAAAAGTTTAACACATTCCCAGTTTCTGTTTAGCTAATTGAAAATGTCACCAATTCCTCATTGTATTACGCGAGCACACTCTTTTTATAAATCATATTAACTTCGCAGTAGCAGATTTCTCTATGATACGGAGGCCATATTGTCTGTGGCTCGACATTCCAGGCTAACTGCAATAGAGAGAACGTGCAATGAAATTCTTCTCCTCCCTTCCTCATTCGACGAAATAAAGGAATTTGTCGACAACCATTTCATCGATAATTTGTTCTTGCAGGAGAAGAAAAAAAAATTTGCGCGTCGTCTGATTATTTTGTCGCTTTGAGACTGTTAAAAGCTGATTGCCATTTGCAAGTATCTTGTCTCGCGTGAATTGCTTTCTCAGAAATAAGCTGGGAAGAAAAGAGCAAAGAAAACTTCCGCAAAAGTTTGTTTGCTTTTATTGGAGGCGATGTAATTTTCTCAGCTAAAATTTTCTCGTTCGTTATCTGGTGATTGATACAAATTTAATACCTGGATTTTTAGTGGTGCAGACATAATTTCAAATGTTTTTTTGAATGTTTTGATAATCACAGCGACTTTAAACCTATTCTCTGCTGTGGGTGTGAAAATGCAACGTTTTGCAGTGACAAGAAAACTGCTTTTGCGAAAAAGTGGTAGAACATTTGTGCTTTAACAAACTGGATATTTTCGATTATTAGCTATCACAAAATCACAGTCAAATAACTTCGGTTAATTTCAGATCAAAATATTTACATTCCAAGTACCGCACTGACGCTCCCTGCAACGTTTGAAATCCACGATAGATAGAAATATGTAATTTTATTTTATAACCGTAGTTGAGCAGCTGACCCAATTCTTAGGTTTACGACTACTAATGTTGAATTACGTAGCCTTGTAATTTTGAACGCAATCTCGAAGACAAGGGAACTACTGGATCAAGTATTGGGAGAAATTTTGCCGTCGTGGAGGACTTTTTGGTGGACCTATCCCATATTTGCGTTACATGGTGCTAGAAAATTCGATGCAAAAATTTACGGAATTTTGAATAATCCTGAAAATATTTTTGCTGCCTCACCACGTAATAACTAGAAATAATTGGCAGTTTTTAAGGTAAGAGGTACTTTATTTACGTCGCACTACAGCTGCACAATGGGCTATTGACGACGGTCTGGGAAACATCCCTGCGGATGATCCGAAAACATGCCAACGCAATTTCGATCCTCTGCAGAGGGGACGGCTCCCCTGCTTTGGCAATTCATAAATATGTTTGAAATATTTGTGCGTAGTGGTGCGAAAATCTTTTCTAAATCAAATATACTAAACTAGGAATCAAATGTTAAAAAATAAACCTTTCTACCATTCTGGAGTTAGTATTCCTGATAACATATAAACAAACATACTTTGTAATCGGTTCCGTAAGGAAGATCTCCCATCAGCGCCCAAACACTGAATGAAAAACAGAGATTCAGAGGGAAATAAAGTTACAACGACCGTTTCAGTGCAATGCAAATGAGAAGTATTATCGTCAGTATCGAATCACTGAATGAAGACAATATCTAACATCATTCTTCAATATTTCTCCCTCTTGTAAAAAATTGCTTTTTGTTCTATTTATGAAGAAAAAAAAATCTTTGAGAAGAAATATTTAAAGAAATAGGAGATTTGAAGGGGAAAAAAAAAGAAGAATTTAAAATGGAATATTTAAAAAATGTTTTAAAAAATTTCTTCTCTTTTATTTATTATAAGCTTAAAAAGCACTTTGCATCCTAAAAATAAAGTTCCATTTTTTTCACACTCAATTGAGTTACATAATCGCAAAGCAAAGAAAAAAAAATTTACAAACAACAAAAATTTGCTTTTGTTGTTTAGTGCAATACGATTTAAAGGATTTGACGTTCTGTTACATTCGAAATCCTGTTATAGGTAAATCCGATTCGTCGCATGATGCATTTAACTGAAAAAAGTAGCAGACAGTATGCTTATGATAAGTCCATTACATCGATAAATCCGTTTATATAATATTTGCGTTTTATCTTAACGTTTAGGTTTTAAATAAAATTATTTGGAAATTGTTTAATTGTGTATTTATTGTAAAATAAGTTAAGAATTGAGAAGAAATGGGGCTATAGATCCATTATTTTTATAGTTCTATTGTTTCAAAAACTAATAGAGTTTAGATAACTGTTGTACCCCCAAATATTATAGATAGATAATACCAAATGCTACGGATATCTAGATAAAATCATTGTAAACATTATATAGGTTACGTAAAAGGCATAGAAACGACCAAATACAGTAAAAGCTCAATGTAACGTAAACGGTATATTACATAAAATATCCATGTCTCCGACAAAATGCTAATATTAAAAATAAAAACAAAATTTTGCGTTTACTACAACAAAATAAATAACTTTGCTCTGCGACGACGCTATTTTTTGAAGGAAAAGCACTTTCCTGCCATTTAAGTAGACTATATCATTTGAAAAAGGGAAAAATTGGAGACATTTTTATTTATGTCTATCAGTACAGAAAAAGGAAGAAGTAAACCTAATTTAACCATAATTTTAGCCTTATATCTGCAAGCAAACGTGCGTGATCATTGTTCAAGTGATCTTCTCCCTTAAGAAAGAAAAATACTTCTGTCACCTGTCGCATATTTCAAAAGAACCAAATATTTAATGTTGTTTCATAACCGTCATTGACCCAAATTTGAGTTTACGGCTACCAATGTCCAACTCTGTAGCATTGTAATTTCGAATACAATCCAGAAGACAAGGGAACTCCTGCATCAAGATTTGGGAGAAATGTGCCTTCGTGGAGGACTTTTTTGAGGGAACTAACCCGCATTTGCGTTACATGGAGAGAAAAAGACCACGAAAATCTTCCACGGTTAGTCTGACGCAAGGGGACTCTAACCCATGATCCGTTTACCATTGAGGATATTTTACTTCAGCACCGCGGTCTGTACGAGCCGGGTGCATAATTTGAATTAACCATCACCGGTATTCGAACCCTGGTCACCTCATTGGGAGGTGAGTGCTCTTTCCTCTGAGCCACCACTGCTCATATATTGTTGTTTAATAAAATTTCTGAGTCAAAAGGTTAGGCGATATTGTTTTACTTTTGGCATTATCTCATTTGTGGCTATGTTTTTTAAAGGGTTTTATTTCCGGATAATACAATAAAATTATTGAGCCGTGATGGTTCAGGGTATAGATCGTTCGTATTTCAATGAGGTGAACCGGGTTCGAATCCAAGAGATGGCTGATTGATACGAATTCCGCATCCAGCTTGTAACGACCACAGTGTTGACGTCAAATATCCTCAGTGGTAGACGGCTTATGGGTCAGAGTCCTCTTACCGTCAGGCTAACTGTGGGAGGTTTTCATGGTCTTCCTCTCCACGTAACGTAAATGTGGGTAAGTTCCATCAAAAAATCCTCCACGGTGGCAAATTTCTCCCAACACTTCATCCAAGAGTTCTTTTGTCTTCTAAATTGGGTTCAAAATTACGAGGCCATGGAGCAGTCGTAAACCCCAAAAATTGGGTCAG